CACACACACACACACACACAGTGTTACAACTGCTTTTTTGTGCATTCAAGTCACATTATGGCAAAGACCACAGATACTTAGAATTAAGAAAAACCATTGAAAACTCTGATTTATCAAAATCTACAAGTCAACTGATTTTTTTAATTTATGCTTTTGTTTGTTATATGAAAGTTTTCCTAGATAGAAACTCCATCTTTTTGAAGGTAAGTGAAACAATTTTTTTAAAAAAATGTGATGCTGATCCATGATGGCCCTGCCATTTATACAAATAAATGTTGCTAGCTATCCTTACTGAAAAACTATATGAAAAATTTTAAAGTAATGAACTTAAACAATGCCTGACTCAATTTTAAGTACCACATTAAATGTTAGGTATTGCTATTATTTTATGAGAATGAGGATGCATAAACAGGACAATTACATCTAAAACAGAAAGACTGTGCTATTGGTTGTCAGGTGAGTCAAAGTGTGAGGCAGGTATAAGGAGAATTTGGAAGAAAAGAATGCTGTGTGGAGAAAAGAGAAAGATGTATATTTCATTACACCACAAGTTCCTATTTGGCAGACTTGCCTTATCTTTAGTGTGATTTTTTTTTTTAGATTAAAAATTTCAGACAGGCAAAGAAGGAAGAAATTGTTAGAGTTGGCAAAGTTTATTAATTTAACATTTAAATCAGCTCACTATCTGGGATGTGCTGATGAATGCTAAACAACCATCTCAGCAGTGGAGGGCACTGGCTTGTTGCATTTGCTAGTGTCTGGAGCATCAATGTGCCTACCATGACCAATGTCAAGCTAAGACTTGGAAAGAGATGCACACAATTGACTTCAGGTGTAATCTGACCCCACTGTACATCACTGTGACAGATTTCACAGGCAGGTCAGAAATATTTCTAGTCATACTTTTGAGTAAGATATGACCAATATTGGATGAAAAAAATTATACTTTACACTAACCATGATCAATATAAGAGGCTTGACAAAGCAGAGGTTTGGGTACTATTTCCTTCTAGAGAATGGCATCACTGTTGCAGTCATTCAAACAAAATTACTACAAAGAGGAAGACTACAGCTTCCCAAACAACTTATAAAAATGCTGGGGAGGGGGAACAAGTAAGGATTATTGTGGTCTTTAAAAAAATACCCAATCAAAACAGATTACTTTGAAGCCAGTCTGCTGCTGGCTTACATATTTCCATGTCTTCCTAAATTGAGACATGATTCAGCAATATATAACGACACATGTACCAAAAGGGTGAGGATAGAGGAAGTATTGGTAGTCAAAGTAGATCTAATGTATCCTCTTATTAGAAGCTTTTGGAAAAGTGATTTGATGGAAGCTTCTCAACTTTTAGGTCACTAGTATAAATTTTGTCTCAGCTGATCATGAACAACAGTGGGTGGTTAGTAGCTATGAAAAATTATGGTGTCACCCTAATTCCTGTAATAGAGACTGCCACTGCAATTGGAACCCTTTCTTTTGCTTCAACCAACAGCACAAAGGATGAATAGAAATGTCATTGCAATAATTTTTTTGGCTTTGTACCCAAGAAATGTGAGGTATGAAAAGGCCAATTCATTTTTATCTTTAAAGCACAGGTACCAGTTTTTTCCTACAATAAAGTTCCCAAATCTTTCTGGGATGAGTTGAAATAAAACCTGGCCACCTTAGGAGAAAAATTATGTCTTAACTTATAGAAAATTAAATTATATAAATGAATGTTCTTTAATGAAGTTTTAATTGCTATGAGTGTAGTAAATTCTTGACCCAAATCTTATAAATCTAAGATTGATTTTGTTTTCTTCTTTCTCTTTTTTTTTTGTTTCAATAAATGAATTCTCATGGATGCAACAAAAGCATTGTATTGTTTTATAAAATGCATGTGTGTTAATATTTGGCTTTCCCATTCTATATCATTATAGTAAGTTGAATAAATGCTTTCTCCTTCCTGAAGAAATGGTATTTTTTTATTTCCTTTAATTTATCCATTAATGTTCTCCACAAATATAATAAATGTTCTCCTTAGTCTTAATATTTCTATCTTCACAAGACTGTGTTTCCTACATATCCTAGGAGTAAATAAGCAATGAAAGACAACTCTAGTAGCTGGGAAAAATCAGCAAAGTAAATATTAGAAGAGAACCACATTGAAGTGCTTGGTTGTGCCATCCAAATTTAGGCCGCCACTAGTAATAGTAAGATATGATAGAAAGTGCTTTATTCTATAGGGGTGGAGGCATGGAGAAGTGGTAGATTGCCTGAATTCAAACCCCAGTCCCACAAAAAAACCAAAAAATAGTAAAGTCATGTTAAGGAAAGTGACCTATCTAGAAGTGAAGAAAACTCAGCTGATCCTAGGCATCGGTTACTTTCTATAAGGGTCACTTCTCCACATCTGCCAAATTAGGCTGATGTGATTCATTGTTTCCCATTTTTTTCAATAGAATTATTCAGTAGAATAGTCTGCACAGATATATAATCAGAATTTAAATAAGAAGGTGTCAATATTCAGCAAAATGGAGCTGTAGTTTGTGCCGCCTCAATACTAAACTCGATGCTGGATTTTCCTGGGATTAAAATCTCTCTTAATCTTTATGACCAGCTTCCTGAATTCATGTATTTATAACTACTGACATTTCTCTGTGACAGCAGGAAAAGATAAACCCTGTCCTATACACATCAGAAGTAAATGATATATCATGTTACTATTCTTATGACTGTTATAAGATAATGCACGCTAATTTGTGCTGTTGATATCCAACACAAATTGAAGCTAAATATTCAGTTAAACACACAGCGTTAACAGATCAAAGGTGTTTCAGTCAGGGATACATAAATAGTGAAAAGCATGCTATTATCTTACAAGTAACTCATATGCCCATGAATCTTGAGTTGTAAATGGAAATCAACCAGACCTACTCTTTTCATCTAAATGAATAAACTGAGTCACAACAATTATAAGACTTGCTCATAGCTATAGAATTTAGTAAAGTCTGCCTCAGAATCAGAACACTTAACTTTAGCCTTGGAGAGTAAAGTTATTTCCCCTATACAACACTGCAGCACAAATAAATCCAGCTGGGCAGAGGCATCAGAGGCAGAAAATAATAGTCAGCTGTAGACTCTCTGGTTGCAAAGCAAAATATATTCAAGTGCATGTTTCCAATCCCTTCATTCTTTCCTGTAATGATTGCAGCTAATCCCTGCTAGCCAAACATTACTCCTTGTATTGTGGCAATCAATAGAATAGATTAGCAGTGGGGACTCTCCATCAATTTTACTCTTGCTTTCCTTTGCAGATAGAATTTTCATTCACTAAAACATAAGCAAGCATGCTTCCTCACTTGCAGAAAAATAAATCGATTGGTCCTTAGGATTATTCCTTTAATACACAAATATATATATATATGTATACACACACACACACACACACATATATATGTGTGTAGGTATCTATATCATGGATCATACCTGTAGATTTAATAAAACAGCACCAATTCTCATGGCTTCACTGATTTCAAGGCTATACATCAGCTGTGGGAAGCGGGGAGGGCTTTGATTATTTGGAGGAAGCACTTCAATGTACACTGTGCAAATGGAGTACCTGCAGAAAAAGAGAAGTGGCAAGATGTTTAAAAATCTACATCACATTCAAAGTTTGAATTCATTCTCTGCTCATTTCTTAAATTTACAGGACAAAACATTTTCAAATTTTATAGAAAGTAGTAAAACTGTGAAATGATAAAAAATTAAATTCCCACCAAAATATAATCCGTTTATGAATTTAGCTTAGTGAAGTGAAAGGGACTGCCTCTAGAACCTATTTTTCCTACTTAGAATGATAATGCAAGTTAGAAAGGAATGGTGGTAAAATAAAGCTAATAAATTAACTTGCCTTGATTTCTGACTTTATTTTTAATACTTTTTTAATAGCAATAAACATTCTATAAGCATCTGGTAATAGGAGCTGTCCTTCATTTTTCTCTTTCTATTAAATTAGCAGGAGGAGTATTTATTAAAATAGGAGCAAAACAGATTCTGGACTGTGTTTGGTTAGTTCTCTGGTTGACATTAATTGTTTAATATGTTTGTAAAGAGTCAAGATCATAAGGTAATTCTTATACAAAATAATGTGAAAAACTATGTTTACAAATCTTTAAAGAGTATAACACAAAAAACTAAAAATTAGACTTAATTAATGCCTTCTTTGACAAGGAATTTTCTTGAAGGCTATGAAGACTATTCTTATTATAACCAAAAACACATTAACATTAATATATTAACTTTTTGATATCTCTGAACTCTGAAATTTTCTTACGTAATGAAAGCTGAAGAAATACGTTCAAGGTTTATAAACATATACTGACTAAAATTTACACAGATAATCCTCTATCTTGAAACACATTTGTTTTGTACAAACATATTACTAGTCCTTGAAATATATAGTCTAAACATTATTTTAACAAAATAAAACCATGATTTTCAGTTTAAAACTCATTAGTTATAATTTCTATCTGAGGCTAGAATTTTCTTCAAGGATACAGACTCTTTTTATTAATCATTTCAATTAAAAGACATGGTAGCTAAAAACACTTTTTTCTAGAATTAAGTTAACCATGCTACTCTTTGAAAAGCTTTTAAGAGGAATGCAGATCATTAATACTGAAACTTAGTTTTATAGGTTATTATTTTGGAATATGCATGAATTTAAGTTGTTTCTGAGTATATTCCCTAAAAGATAGATACTTACAAAATAATAAGCACCTCTCAAGACCTACAATATATTTAAAGAATTTCCTAATTCCATATATTGCAATATTGTTCTAAAGTAAACTCATTGTTAAAATTAAATTATTTTAGACTTTTATAATGTTAAAATATCTGTATTCATTCTTGCATCTGATTTAACACTTCATTAAAATCCACTAATGAAATTAATAATTTTGTTTCACATATATCTAATTGAGATATTTAACAATTAAATTTTGCCTTTAAAGGTTGAATGTTTAAAATGGGTTAAAATAAATGATAAAATGTTTCTTAAAAATTTACATTCATCTGAAAGCAAAATAACAGAAAATTTCAAAGTACACTACAAACAGTCTCACTTCTCATGTTGTGACAACAAAGGAACTGTCATTTGAAAGTAGATGTAATATCCTCACTGATGGTGGTCTGCTCCTAGTAAGTAATGAAACACTATTGGTAGTAAGTATATGTGAGTGATGCTGAGTCCAGAACCTGTAATGGGACAATCTTGGATTAGACCTTGATTGTTGGCACTGTATGATTTAGGCAGAAGACAGAACAACTTTGATCCAAGGTGAGTAAGCCTTTCATCTGCTCTAACTCTTTTGCTTCCTTTACTCCTTTCCACAATAATTCAAATGTTGGAATTGCTAACTTGTATTTTGTATCTCTTATACTTAAATCTTAGCATTTTCTTGGGGAAAATCATATTTCAAGGTCTTTCATTTTCATCTTCAATATCCAGGCACTTCTCTACTACGTGTCTAAATAAGTATCAGCCTCTTTGAGGACCATTGTCTTTTAAAATATCTCTTTTTATCCCTCATGTCAGTATAGTGTCAGAGTTTGCTTTCTTAATGTGAAGTATCCACAGTATGAACAATGAAATGATAACTTAATGGTTCAATAGGTGTAATTCAGCAGCATCACTTAAGCATATAATAAAACATGGTAGTCACTGGACAAATAACAATATTTTATGTAAGCATTTCATGTTGAAATTTTATAGCCAATCCTAAATGCCTAAAACTGTGAATCTATCTAAGCCAATTTTATTTTTGTAATATGGTCAATAGGATGTAGATAAATTGCCATTTCTAAAAATTAAAATCATAAAGCATTATTCTTTCTCATTTGGTAGTAAAGGTCAAAGTGAAAAAAAGAAGCAATATATTTCTCAGATAACTTATGATTTTCAAAAATGCTTGAAATCATCTAATTTGACTAAGTAGATGTACAAAAAAATGACTTAAAAGTCATAGAGATTGTGACAGAATTAAGTTATAGAGATAATCAGCCACAGCAGACAATTTAAAAAGCAAGGCTTCTGAAGTCAGAATTTGCTTGTCTTTGGTCTCTACATCTCACAAGAACAGATTTGGAAAGTATATTGCACAATTTTTACTTCTCTGGGTTTGGACATAAAACACCCTCAGTTTCTGGGAAAGGATATTATCTTACAAAAAACATAAATTATTGCAAGTTTGTGTTCAGACTATGAAATCACAATTTTTAATAATCTTTACCATGAATAAAACTTCATCTTATAGCAATTATTGAAAGAATGAAATAAATTTAAACAGTTAGGAAGCTAGACTTTAGCTCCTTTGACTTTGGAAATGTTGTAACTAGAAAAGATAAAAAGTCAAATATTCTGATATTGTAATTGGTAAATAGATGATGTTGTGTTATTGGGAGTGCTAAGATTTGTGTTGTAATTTGCTTTGAAATAAATCAACATGTGCTGCAACATGTCTACTTGCAAATTTCTTCCTTGTTTCTATAAGAAAGCTTCAGATGTTTACCTTGTTTTCCCTAGTAGATTCAAAACAGAGATGTTACTATGATTTTTCCATTGTCTTCCACAATTAGTATACTAATATACATTTCAGTGCTTACAGATTTCATTCTACCATTGTGGAAGTGCATACAGAAATCTACAGGAGCAGAGACTTCAAGTTTAAAACTGACGTAAGAGTTCAGAAAACATCAACTATAACAAACTTGTCAGCAAATTATAGCCAGAATTTTAAGATGTAAGTTCTTTTTCCATATAAAACAGACAGCGTATTACACATTCAAATTCAAAGAGAAATAAATAATGAAAAGCCCTAAGTTTTATATGCCTAAAGAAGAGGACATAAATTGAACAGAAGTAGGAATTAAGGCTAGGGAAGAGATTGGGATTTAAACTTCACCTTGATGATAAGAAAATAGGGATAGATTTAAAAGCAGGTTTTTTTTTTCATTTTTCTTTTATTATTCATATGTGCATACAAGGCTTGGTTCATTTCTCCCCCCTGCCCCCACCCCCTCCCTTACCACCCACTCCGCCCCCTCCCTCTCCCCCCCCTCAATACCCAGCAGAAACTATTTTGCCTTTATTTCTAATTTTGTTGCAGAGAGAGTATAAGCAATAATAGGAAGGAACAAGGGTTTTTGCTGGTTAAGATAAGGATAGCTATAGAGGGCATTGACTTACATTGATTTCCTGTGTGTGGGTGTTACCTTCTAGGTTAATTCTTTTTGATCTAACCTTTTCTCTAGTACCTGTTCCCCTTTTCTGGTTGGCCTCAGTTGCTTTAAGGTATCTGCTTTAGTTTCTCTGTGTTAAGGGCAAAAATGCTAGCTAGTTTTTTAGGTGTCTTACCTATCCTCACCCCTCCCTTGTGTGCTCTCGCTTTTATCATGTGCTCATAGTCCAATCCCCTTGTTGTGTTTGCCCTTAATCTAATGTCCACATATGAGAGAGAACATACGATTTTTGGTCTTCTGGGCCAGGCTAACCTCACTCAGAATGATGTTCTCCAGTTCCATCCATTTACCAGCGAATGATAACATTTCGTTCTTCTTCATGGCTGCATAAAATTCCATGTGTATAGATACCACATTTTCTTGATCCATTCGTCAGTGCTGGGGCATCTTGGCTGTTTCCATAACTTGGCTATTGTGAATAGTGCCGCAATAAACATGGATATGCAGGTGCCTCTGGAGTAACAGTCTTTTGGGTATATCCCCAAGAGTGGAATTGCTGGATCAAATGGTAGATCGATGTCCAGCTTTTTAAGTAGCCTCCAAATTTTTTTCCAGAGTGGTTGTACTAGTTTACATTCCCACCAACAGTGTAAGACGGTTCCTTTTTCCCCGCATCCACGCCAACACCTGTTGTTGGTGGTGTTGCTGATGATGGCTATTCTAACAGGGGTGAGGTGGAATCTTAGCGTGGTTTTAATTTGCATTTCTTTTATTGCTAGAGGTGGTGAGCATTTTTTCATGTGTTTTCTGGCCATTTGAATTTCTTCTTTTGAGAAAGTTCTGTTTAGTTCACTTGCCCATTTCTTTATTGGTTCATTAGTTTTGGGAGAATTTAGTTTTTTAAGTTCCCTATATATTCTGGTTATCAGTCCTTTGTCTTATGTATAGTTGGCAAGTATTTTCTCCCACTCTGTGGGTGTTCTTTTCAGTTTAGAGACCATTTATCTATGCTATCTCTTAGTTGCTGTGCTGCTGGGGTTTCATTGAGAAAGTTCTTACCTATACCTACTAACTCCAGAGTATTTCCTACTCTTTCTTGTATCAACTTAAGAGTTTGGGGTCTGATATTAAGATCCTTGATCCATTTTGAGTTAATCATAGTATAGGGTGATATACATGGATCTAGTTTCAGTTTTTTGCAGACTGCTAACCAGTTTTCCCAGCAGTTTTTGTTGAAGAGGCTGCTATTTCTCCATCGTATATTTTTAGCTCCTTTGTCAAAGATAAGTTGGTTATAGTTGTGTGGCTTCATATCTGGATCCTCTATTCTGTTCCACTGGTCTTCATGTCTGTTTTTGTGCCAGTACCATTCTGTTTTTA